AGCCCAGTTAGCCACCAGGAATCCTCTTTTCTTTTCTTTTTTTAAATTTCATTTACTTACTTAGCCTTGGCTGGCATAGCTCAGTGGATTGAGCACAGGCTGTGAACCAGAGGGTCACAGGTTTGATTCCCAGTCAGGGCACGTACCTGGGTTGTGGGTCAGGTCCCCAGTGGGGGCCACTCAAGAGGCAACCACACATTGATGTTTCTCTCTCTCTCTCTTTCTCCCTCCCTTCCCTTCTCTAAAAATAAATAAAACCTTAAAAATTTTTTTCATTTATTTATTTAGAGAGAGGGGGAGGGAGAGAAACATCAATGTGTGGTTGCCTTTCATGCACTGGGGACCTGATTGGCAACCCAGGCATATGCCCTCACTGGAAATTGGACTGGCAGCCCTTTGATTTGCAGGCTGATGCTCAATCCGCTGAGCCAAATCAGCTATGGCTAGGAGCCCTTCTTAATAGGTATCTTCTTTCTGAGGGTCCACAGCATGAATTCTACTTTATTTTTGTATGTACTTCTGTGTTTCAAATAATTTTCTTTCAGACTTTGAAGCTATATCTTTGTTGTCTTTTAGCATCAAGTGTTGCTGATACCACTATGATGTATGTTTTTCCATAGGCAATATACTTTTTAACCTCTTAGGTAACAAATCAAAAAGTAAAGATCCGTAGCCTTAAGTTTTTATGTTCTTAATATTAGAATGAGTTAGAACTTGAGGATAGATAAAAATGAAGGTTATTGTTGTGTTTAAAAATGAACTCCCATTTTCCCTTAAATATTAAGCTTAATAAAGGGAGGATACCTTCAGAGTTAAATATTTCCTCTTGTTGCCACCTTACAGTATTTTTTAATACTTGCACCACTGAGTAATGTTTGACTTCCTGAGGTAGCATATTCTCTTTATACCCTTTGGCTATTCCTAAAATTATATGTTTTGAATTGGAATGACTCCCTGAATAATTTGTCTTGTTTTTTTAGTGGAAAAAGTTAAAAATAAAGCTCATCTTCCAGGTAGTTTGTAATTTTAGTTCAGATTAGGGGTGTCCAACCCCACAGTTCATTGGTCATGTATGGTCCAGGGTGGCTATGAATGTGGCCCAATACAAACTCGTATATTTACTTAAAACATGAGGTTTCTTTGTGATTGTGTGTTGCATTGTCACGTAAAATAAATGTACGCATGCTATCACTATTTGAACGCATGAGTGGCTTCAGTTTTATGGCAGTGTTTGGCTTCCTGTGTCTTACCTTCTTAAGGTAAGTGCAGACGGTAGAATTGACATTATCAGACATTGTATGTGCTCGTGGTGACTTAGCGAGGCAGCGATTATCAATAATATTTCAACCACCATTGCAATGTTAGATATTTAATGTTATTTAGAAGTCAGGTAAGCATTCTTACTTGATTATTGAAGGTACTTCCACACCTCCTTGGTGCCTCACATATCACCCGCCATGCTTTACAATTGGCCTTCCCACTTGCCTTGTATTGGCAGCTGAGAGGGCTGTGGAAGGGTCCAAACCTTGCTTTCTGTTTTCCTGTCAATTAATTTTCATAGTAAAAGTAAATAAAGTCCCTTATCTATTCTTATTTTTTAATCCCAGCATGACTTCTACAACATCTCAAGATAAAAAAGAATTCAAAAAAGAAAAATTATAGATGAAGGGAGATTGTTCAGTTAAAAATGGACAGATGGCTACTTTTTTGTTGATGCAATAGTAAGGCACTCTGCTTAATTTGTAGGGAATTTGTATGAATTTTCTGTGGGGGCGACTATCCTCACAAGTCCCCCGTGTGCCACAAATGAGAGTAAACATGACTGAGACATGATGTGATCTGCTTGGGGAGGAAAGGTGGCCGATCCCTCAAAGGGGAAGGGCCAAGAGCCCCCTGCTCACGGGGATTTTATTGGGTTCGTTTGCACAAGAATACAGGTAAGGATCAAACAATAAGTAGCATTCAAAGAACTGAGGGCTTATTCTCAGTCAGGGTCAGATAGCTAAGGAACCATAAAACTTTGAGGAACAAACTTCTTGCTTGGACTTTTATCATTTAAATGAGAGCATTCTAAACAAAGCAGGTTTCACAGGATTTTTACATATTTTTTATTATGCCTGATTTACCCCAATACCCGCCCTTTCCAGCACAGGGCTGCACCAGATGCACCTCCTTCCCCATCATAGGTTTTTAGGCTTAAGTTGATTAATTAGAGCCAGGCAGTGCTTCTCCCAGACGGAAATGGGGCTCAGGCTATGTCACAATGGGGGGGGATGAGGGGAGGGTCCATCGCTCCCTCTTTGTTGCATCACCCCCCCCTTGTCCTTCCATGGTGGCCTCCCAAGTGATCATGTCTGTCCTAGGTTGCCCCACTCTGAGGAGTAGTACCTGCCATGGTCACCGACCATGCTTTGGGGGCAGGGGAAGAAGCAGAAGCAGTGCTTGCTGCCAGAGACAAGCTTTGTCTCCTGTGACCAGCATTCTGGAGGTCACTCACTTAGCCATGGGAGGCAGTTAAATTCCTGGAACCAGGCAGGGCAGTTCCCAAGAGTTTTCAAAGACTATAATTTGAAAAGACACTATGTGCAAAAACATACTGTGAAATTCAGTACGTACGAAGGATTGTGTCATAAGGACAAAATAGTGGAACTGAAAAAGTATCTTCTCAATAAAAATTTTTTCAAAAAGTTACAACTTGGGAAGGTTCCATTGTAAAAACTAGCTATGTGGTATCATATTTAACAGCAAAAAAATTATAATCATATACTGATGGTGAATTTATTAAGCAATGTATAGAAAGCATGGTACATATAATTTGCCCTGGAAAAAAGGGGGATATCTCTAAGATCAGTTTGTCTCACCAGGCTATAGCCAGGTGAACTGAAGAAATTGGAAATCTATTGAAAGAAGTTTGGAGGGTAAAGCTGCCAATTTTAAATTTTATTCTCTGGCATGGATAATAGTACTGATGCTGCAGATATGGCAAAACTTGCCATTTTTATTGGAGGTATTGATGATGAATATAATGTCACTGAAGAAATGGCTTCTTTAGTGCCATTAAAAGGCACAGCTAAATCAAGAGATTTATATGAAGCATTAAAAAAATGTTAAAGCAATTTTCTTTGTCCATTGTCAACATATCTGGTATAGTTACTGACAGTGTCCCAGCAAAGGTAGGTAAAAGGGAAGGGCTTATAAAATTAATAGATGATGCAATTACTGCCCAAAACTCATGTTTGATGAAGTATCGTTGCATAGTACTTCAAGAAAATTTATGCACAAAAGGTTTAAAAATGGATAATGTCATGCAAATCATCATCAAGACTGAATTTTCTTGGTGTGTTCCTCTTGGGCCCAACTTTTTTGGCACTCTGAGCTTCCTGGACTTCCTGGAAGTCTATTTCCTTTGCAAGATTGGGAAAGTTCTCCTTTATTATTTGTTCAAATAATTTGTCCACTTGTTGCTCTTCCTCTATATACAACCCGTGGACATGAACTAAATGGGGGGCATGTGGGTGGGAGGGGGTGAGCAGTGCAGAGGGGAGTGAAGGGAGAAAGGGACAACTGTAATAGCATAATCAATAAAATATATTTTTTAAAAAAGACTGAGTTTCCTAAGAGCCAAGGGATTGAATCATCGCTAGTTCCATCGCGAGTTCCTTAAAAGTATTGATGCTGATTACGGCAACCTCATTTGCTTTTTGGAAGTAAGGTGACTAAGTTGAGACCAAATATTGATAAGATTTCATGATGTGTGACATGTTACCAAGTTGTTTATGGTATTAAAAAACAAATTTGTGCTGGAACTTGACATGAAAACTGGCTTACAGATTTAGTATTTTTAGTGAATTTAACTGGTTACTTAAATGAGTTAAACGTGTGTCTTCAAGGTGAAAACCAAGTTATTAATATCATGTTTCAAATAATAACAGCATTTCAAATGAAACTGAAATTATGGCAAGCTAAAATTAAGGCAGACAGTGTTATGCATTTTGACACATTGGCTAACCGCACTCCTGTGAACAATGAAAAATGTGCAGCATTGCTATTTGATTTGATAACAAGAATTTGAAAGCAGATTTCAACACTTACAGGAAAATACTCAATATTTTGCTATATTTCCAACTCCCATTTTCAGTTGACATGAATATGTTACCTGCCAATTTTCAAGTGGAATGCATGGAGCTGCCGTCTGACATTCACTTTAAAGAAAAATTTGATTGTGTCCCTTTACTGGATTTTTATATATCCTGTCTTCCCTGAGACAAATATCCCTTGCTTCACAATCATGCCCTATTCATGCCATCACTATTAGGCAGCACCTACACTCGGCAAGCAATTATTTTCAAGAATGAAACATATTAAGAGTAAAATTAGAACCAAAATATCTGATGAGCACCTTGAGAACTCTCTGAGAATTCCAACTACTATCAAACCAGGTATTGATGCACTGGTTTCTCGAATACAATGTCAAATATCCTACTAGTTTTATGATGCCCTCTTTTCTTTGATTTTTATAATAAAATATAAAAAATCAGTAACATTTTATTACCTAGATATGTACATTTTCTATATTAGTGATTACAAACTTGGGACTGGTTTGATGATTTTAAAAGATTGTTGAAAGGGCCACTGCAATAATGAGGGTTATTAATGTGAGGACTGTTCTGTCTATCTGTCGTGGTGGATATAGCAAAAATTATGCATGGACCTTTTTTTTTTGCTCATCAGGTTTTGTTAGTGTTTGTGTTCTTAATGTGTGGCCCAAGACAACTCTTCTTCCAGTGTGACCCAGAGATGCCCAAAAGTTTGACAATCCCTGGTTTAGATAACACACACACAGAGTATCTTTTTATACCTATAATTTGTACCTGGCTATTTAAAAATTTAAAACTGCTTTTTACCAAAGTGTTAGTTGAAAAAGACATAGTAAATTTGTGTTTTAAACTGCTTTGTGTCTTGAACTATTCTTTTATTTAGTGAATTTTTTTCCAAATTAGACCTTGTGTGGACAGTAATGACCTCACGTTTCCGATTGCCTGCTGGCAGAACCTACAATGTACGAGCATCAGAGTTGGCCCGAGACAGACAGCATACAGAGGTGGTTTGCAACATTCTTCTTCTGGATAACAACGTGCAAGCTTTCAAAGTTAACGTAAGTATTTTATGTCTCTTTTTAAAATGATCTCTGGTTATAAATCTGAATTCAGGTTATATTTTAAAATTAAAATTATTTATTTATAGTACAGTTTAAAATCCTTATTCAGTGAAGAAGAGTCTTTGTAGTGTGGATTTGTAACTGTCAAATGCAAGTTCTAATAGAAACTGGGACTTTAAGAAAGCTGACAGATCAGTGCATTATGATTAGTTAGTGGAGCTGATCAATAACACATTTTATAAGTGTGCTTGAGGATGCTTGAAAGGAATTTGTTCTCCTAAATAACTTATACATTTTCATTTTAATCTTACTTAAACTGTCTGTCAGTAAAACCTTTGCTGAACAAAGAGAAATGACAGCCCTGATTTTATCTGAGTCTTATGTGAAATATTTATTTATCAAATATTCATCTTTATTTGTGTATTGCTTTATTTGCTCATCATTTGTGAGTTTCATTCATGTGATATGTTGACAGTAGTTGGTGCATTTTCATTGCTCTATAGCACTCTTTGTTATGTTCTCTATATAGTATATGTCTCACATATACTATATGTTATATATGTAGTATATAGTATTTATATAGTATAAATTATGTACTATTATTTACTTGTCTATTTATTACCATATCAAATATGCTGTTGCTGAATATTTGGATTGTTTGCACTTTGGGCTCTTATCAGTAATGTTGCTGGTGAATGTTCTTGGGCATGTCTTGACATATACAGTTGTATTCCTGTTTTTTGTTTAAAATTTCAGGCCACCCTGGCCAGGTGTCTCATTTGGTTGGAGTGTGGTCTTGTACACCAAACGGTGTGAGTCCAATCCCTGATAGGACATACATGTGTCTAGGTTGCAGGTTCAATCCCCAGTCAGGCCTTGTATGGGAGGCCAGTGTTTCTCACATTGATATTTCTCTATATCTCTCTCCCTTTTTCTCTGTCTAAAATGAATGAGAACGTATCTTTGGGTGAAGATTAAAAATAACAATAAAATAAATTTCAGCCTAACAGAAAAGGTGAAGAGTAGTATAATGAATACACACATATCTACTTTACCTAGATTGACCCATTACTAGCTTTTTGTACACTTCCTTTCTTTTTCTCTCTTTGATTATTCTGAAATTTTTGACAGTGGTACATTTCACCTGGGAGCACTTCAGCAGCCTAAGAGTTTTATAAATTACCACAATACCATTATCATACACCAAAATTGAATATTATGAATTTAATAGTAACTAATATGTAGTTCATATTCAAACTGGAGTTCCTCATTCCTCATATCTGCATCTCCAAGATAACTTCTTTGTAAGGTTTCTTTTGTATTCCCCAGATACAGTAGTTTTCCCTTATCCGCGATTTTGCTTTTTGTTGTTGTTGTTTTGGTCAACTGTGCTCCAAAAATATTCAATGGAAAATTCCAGAAATAACTAATGCATAAGTTTTAAATTACATGTCATTCTCAGTATCATGATGAAATCTCACACCATCTCTCCGGTCCACTCGGGACATGAATCATCCCTTTGTCCAGCATAATCCACACTGTGTACGCTACCCACCTGTCAGTCCCTTAGTTTTCTTGGTTATCATATAGAGTGAGAAGGACCACATTCACTTAACTTTTACTACAGTATATTGTTATAATCGTTCTGTTTTATTGTTAGTGGTGTTCATCTCTTAACTGTGCCCAATTTATAAACTTCTGTCATAGGTATGTATAGATAGGAAAGAACATGTATATACAGAGCTTGGTACTGTCTTTGGTTTTAGGTAACCAGAGGTCTTGGAACAGTATCCCCCGTGAATGGGTGTGGGAGAGGGCTTCAATTCTATACTCTGAAATCTTTAAGTAATAGGTTATTAATCTTCTGAAATCCTGCCATTTGCGACAGAATAGATGGACCTTGGCATTATGCTAAGTGAAATAATCTTAAATTTATATAACTTATGTTATTTATATCTCAAAGTTAGAAGAAGAAAATATGCATTGTTTACCAGTTTTATAGCTTAAAATTTTATATGTGGGTATACTGTATAGCAGGATCACTAATTTTATCTCTTTTATCCCCAATTGCAAGCAATTTTACATTGGAAAAGGGAATGCAGAGTAGTACCTTTAAGGTTATTATCCAACATACCCAACTAACGTGCTTTTCCAAAAAGTTAACATTTTAATTTTTTATATTTTGTCATTTATTAATAGATAGTTGGTTGCCAAACAGAGACAATAGTCAAAGTAGGAAATTCCTGTTTTATAAAAATTTCTGGTTAATGGAAACGCTCATGTGTTAGAGAACTGATAGAAAAAAATGAGCCTTTTTCCCCTTATTGACTCTTTAGCCTTCTTTTGGGGGCATTTAATAATTCTTGCTTTAATTTAATGTTAGTTAATGTTTATTTAATTAGTTAATATTTAGTTTTTATTTTAATGTACAGTTCTGTATTTGTTTCAAAATTCTGTAGAAGGATTTTTTTCTTATTTATTTTCAGAGAGGTAAAGGGAGGGACAAAGAATGGGAGACAAACATCAGTGTGTGAGAAAAACTTTAATGTGCAAGATATATCAATTGGTTGGTTGCCTCTAGCACACCCCCAGCTGGTGCCCTGCCAGGAATCGAACCAGCGACCTTTTGGTTCACATGAGGGTTGGCTCACATGAGGGAGCTGTACCAGCCAGGGCTGTGGGAGGACTTTTTTATGCTTCTCATCTAACATAATTTTTCTTTTGGGTACTTTAATTTATAATAGTATATTTTATTTTTGCCCTGGTCAGTGTGGCTCTTTGGTTGGAGCATCATCCTGTACACTGAAAGGTTGCTGGTTTGATCACTGTTGGAGAGCCTCCAAGAGGCTGCCAATGGATGTTTCTGTTACATTGATGTCTCTCTCTCTCTCTCTCTCTGCCTCTCCCCCTCCCCCCTCTCCTCCTCTTTTGACTCCTTCATTCTTCTGTCTCATTCTTCTGTCTCAAAAAGCAATGAAAAAATGTTCTCTGCTAAGTATTAAAAAAATAGTGTTTTAATTTTTAATGTAGTAGCCAATGTGCTAATTACTCTTTTTTGAAGACATGTATTTAATATATTTTACATATGTTTATATATTTAAAAAGCAGTTCTAATAGAGTACATTACTAGAATGATAGCCCCTAAGGTATTTAGAAACCTTCTCTATCGTTACTTCAGGTCATCAAAAATGTAGATTGTTGCAACCACTATGGAAAACAGTGTGGAGGTTCCTCAAAAAAATTAAAAATGGAATTGTACTTATGATCCAGTGGTTCCACTTCTAGGAGTATGCACAAAGAAACTTGAAACACTAATTTGAAAGAATATAGGCACTTGCTATGTTATTTACAGTAGCCAAGATTCGGAAGCAACCCGAGGGCCCATTAACAGATGAGTGGACAAAAAGCTGTGGTACATTTAAACAATGGATTACTACTTGGCAGTAAAAGAGAAGAAAACCTTACCTTTCCCAACAGCATGGGTGGACCTAGAGGGTATTATGCTAAGTGAAATATGCCAGTCAGAGAAAGACAAATATGATATGATTTCAATTACATGTGAAATCTAATGAACAAAATAAACAAGCAAAATAGAAACAGACTCATAGCTACAGAGAACAAACTAACAGCTGTCAGGGGGGGATGTTCATAGGGCTGGGTGAAAAAAAGGTGAAGGGATAAAGCAGTACAAATTGGTAGTTGCAGAATAGCCACAAAAATGCAAGTTGCAGAATGGAGAATATAGTCAGTATAGTAGTGTATGGGCCAGGTGGGTGCTTGGGGCAGCAGGAGGACCACTCTGTAGAGTGCGTAATTTTCTGGCCACTTTGTGTACATCTGAAACTTGTGCAGAATGATACTGAATATAAATTGTGGTTGAAAAAATAAGCTTAACAGGAATAATATGAGAAATTAATTGTTGGGTATATAATACATTTATTCTTCCCGGTATTTGCACCCAAGTCATTCAGAGTGTTTGAGTTGCTTCATACTTTTGTATAAATGCTACATATTTTAATCTATGCTGAATGGCTCCCTGGTTATGCATTTCGCAACTTGTGCAGTGGTATATGATAGCCTGCAAATTAATAGGGAAGTTCAACCTCTGATATTTGTTCTCTTAAGTCCATTAAATAAAATTGAATTTCAGAAACCTCCATTGTGGGCAGCTGCTTGGTTCACCAGCAGTTTTCACTGGAAAGGAGAACCACTCACTTTCCTCCGAAGATTACCAAGTAATGATTTGTAATATCTGTACCACAGGTGAAATTTTCATTTTTGTCAAAGCTTGCTCTTTTTCTAGTACTTATATCATTAAAGTTTTTTCTGTGTGTTTTCCTGAGAGAATGATAGAGTGAAGAAATTAATATAACTTCATTAGTTCTTCATTCTCTTTCCTTTTTGAGGATATAGGGATTAGGTAAGTTCATTAGTGGTGGATCAGTTTCAAGTTCAGTTTCCACTCTGGCTTTGGGAGAGCCACTTATTTTACTGTAGCCAGCATATGAAGTGTGTTGTCTACCTTATGTCTTAAATTTGACATCATTTCACCAAAATATGTCTCTATTAAGTACCTTAAAATGTATAATATACATTCTACATGGATTGAATTCACCATCCTATGAGGATTTTCTCCTAATTTTTGGCTTTATTTTTACTTTAGGACAGCTGTTTAGCATAGCCTGTGTGACAAGGAAGAATTGGGGGGAAACTAGCCTGTTCTACTTATTAGGATTTCATAACACATTATCCCAAAATGTAATGGCATGTTTATTATCCTCAGATTCTGTGAGTCAAGGATTTACACAGGACTGGATTATATCTGTTTCATGTGTTGGGCCTCAGCTGAAGGCTAGAATCATTTGAAGGCTTTTTCACAGTCATAACTGGTATCTGAGATCTCAGCTGAGGCTTAAGCAGCTACGTATGGCCTCTTTACGTGTCCTGGCTTCTTCACAGCACAGTGACTTTGTTCCAAAGCCGAGCATCCTTGAGGG